CCAACAACACACAACAACACACCAACAACAGGCCAACTACTATTTGATGCAGCATCACTGTTTCCCCTTGATACTCCTGAGGTTTCTCTCATTTTTCCTCATGTAAAACAAACCTGTGGTTTTGAGCAGATCACATTGTGATATTTTAATCCGACTGTAGACTGTACAGACTGCAGGCTGCTCTGAGCTCTATGACTCTTTTTAAACTGGTTCTATAAAACAGCAGATCTCAGATCAGATTTCAGATCTGAACTTTTTGTTCCAGCAGCTTCTGTTCTTAAGTCTTTTCTTTCTTTTGTCTTGAAAAACTGAAACATGATACAAGCTTTTCTGTCCACATTCACTGAACGTTTCACTTCCTCATAATAAGGCAAAAAGCTCTCAAATATTAGTCTGTTTGTTTGTGTCTGTTTGTTTGTTATATCATCTTCTAATTCATGGCAATAATCTCTGAACATTTTCATATCAATCAATATAATACTGCAACCTGTGTAAAATACTACTGCAGTAATACTACAACATGTATTATGATACTGCAGGAATATATATTTAGAGCTTTGACAACACAACACAAATTTCTGACCTGTGAGAAATGTGACCAATCATCAGTCAGATCAATGATTGATCAAGTGATTAATCACACTCTCAAACTCACATCAAACAACACCTGATGTGACAGACACTGGGCCTGTATCTGCCAGTGTCTGCCCGGCTGCCCGTGTGTATTTAGACTGACAGGGCGTCTGGTGCCTCAGTGAAGCATCATCAGTGGCAGCTGCTGGTGTTTCTGTTGTCGTCTTCATGTTGGTATTTTATTTTCTCAGTGGTGAGTAACAGAGCTGCTTCTAATCTGACCTGAAGCTATTTACAGCAGGAGACCCTGACTGAGATTAACAGATTACAGCCTGATAATCCACACACACACACACACACACACACACACACACACACACACACACACACAGCATCCAAAATCAGACTCAGGTAATAATAAAGTGTTGCTTGCTATGCCTGTTTTCATGTGTGAAGTCATCACATGTGGTTTCCTACAAGGGATCAAGTGTGTTTTTCTTAATAAAGGTTAACTGGTTACCTTCAGACTGTTCTTATCTAAACCGACCAGTGTGTTGCTGGTGGTTCAGGTTAGAGAGACCTGGTTAAAAGGTTCTGCCTCCATCAGGTGAGCAGTGTGACTGAGGAGTGTGAGTGAAACACTGTCAGGTTTATCCAGGTGGACTCTGTGTAAGACAGAAGAGCTGCAGGTGGAAGGTTAACACTGTCTTTAACACAGCCTGCTGACTGACAGTAACCTGAAGCCAGTTTAACCTGCAGGAGTGTGACGAATGAAAACCACTTCACAGGCTCTCCAGTTTTCTTACTGCAGGAATGAACCAGTTGCTGATGTTGATGATGAGCTCAGGCAGACAGAAAGTGATTCACACACTGATGTGGGTTTTACACTGGTTCACTATTTTTCATGTTTGTTTCATGTGCTCAAAAAATCTTGATCTCCAGGTTTTCGATTGTTCACACACGGGGGAGGAAGGTGGGGGTTGGGGGGGCATATTATTATATTATAGGTTAACAGACGGTTGTTCTATTTATTCAATGAATTTGGCTACACTGTGATCCAGGTAGCAAAATGAATCCGACCCAGACTTGGGCCACATACTTGTTTTCTTCCAGCCCAGTATATTCCACAGCCTGAATCTGGCCCATGTATAGCATGAGTCATGCTACACATGGGCCAGATTCAGGCAATTCTGGCACACATACAGAAAATCATCTGGCTGTCAGTCAATAACTGCTTGAATCCAGATTTGGAAGTGTAAGGGCCAGACTGAGGCCAAGGACCTGGGATAGGTTGGGCCAGAAGTTTGATTTTGCAAATTGAACTGGCCTCAGGATTTTTAATTGTTCTAAATGATAAATGATTGATCAGCCTGAGAACATCAATGTGTCGCTGCCTCTGTTGACTCTGTGACATGTCACCTGATGTTTAAACAAACTGGTGTGTGTCTGTTTCTGATGTGGATGATTTCATGAACATCTCATTGACCGACCAAACTCACAATGACAATAATAACATAATAACAATAATCCTACAGTGATGTATCAATGTGTGATGTCAGTGTGTTACTGATGCTGCTTCACTGTGATGTAGCTGAACACACTATGAACAGATGTGACGTCCAGCTGAGGACCACAGGATTCAACTGTTGGGCTGCTCCTTTAAAATCTAGATTCTGTATCAGATGTGGTTCAGTACCTTTCTTCCTCCACCAGGGGCCCTCTCTGACTGAGTAGGAGACGTCTTTGAACTCGATGTTGACCGCCGGTCTCCGAGGTAACGAGGAGAACCTCTGGGCCTCCGTCAGGTTGTTGTCCACCTTCTTCAGGTGTCCCTGCAGCAGTGGCGTCTGCTGGCTGCCCACCGGCCGCTTACTGACCACCTCGTCCATACAAACGCACACCGTCCGGGGGTCCAACATCAGGTCTGGTGGCCCGTTCGTGTTCTGAGGGTCAGATCAGAGACTGAGGTGAGAGTCTGAACTTTAATGTTCACCTGACAAACCAGGAGCCTGAACAGACCAGGTCTCAGTGACCAGGGTTCTCCACACCACCACAGTTTCCTCTGGTTTCTGGACTCATGTAGTTTCATCAGACCCAATATTGACTTGTTTACATTCACAGACTCACCTAACAACACTGTACAAATACAGAGGTAGACCTGTATCAATCTCTGCCTCAGACTGAGGTGTCAAGCTTCAACGATCAGTCCTTTCATTGATTATTTAATCAGTTCATCAATTCGTTCACAGGATATTAATCAGCAGCTATGTGTTAGTCTCACAGAGATTCCTAACCCTCCATCAACACCAGCTGACTTTAACCTACATGTTGTTTCACTAATCATTAAATCGAACCAGAGACATGAAGATCTGAGGTGAGCTGCTCCACGTCTGTTTGTGGGAAACAGACTCTACCTCACAGGTTCCATGCGGAGAACATGGAACACGCTCAGTGCTCATGATTTATAGTTAGAGGACTGACACATGCACAGGTTACACAGGTTGTACAGGTTATACAGGTTGTACAGGTTATACAGGTTGTACAGGTTGTACAGGTTGTACAGGGTGTACAGGGTGTACAGGGTGTACAGGTTGCAGTCTTTGTAATGAGATGTGTACATGTGTGTGCTCAGCCTGCTCTGCTGTTCAGAGGACTCTGCTGGCGTGGAGCGTCAGCAGATGCAGAGCAGTGATGTGGTCAGATTAGCTGTCAGCTGCCTCTCTGTTGTTGTGTATGTGGGACAGCCTGCTCCATATGGGACACTAATCTGCAGGACAGAGTACAGCTTAGCCAGCAGGCTGAAAGACAGCCTGGCCGACCATTATCATCATCACCATCATCATCACCATCGGCATTAACAACCACAACACTGATACACACATCAACTGATCACCTGCATCACTGTTACAACCTGAATACACACATGGAGACATGTTGTCCACTGTGTCTGTTCCAATTCTGTTATATGTCTGTGGTGTGTGTCTGCTGTGGTTCAGGTGGTAGAGCAGGTTGTCCACTGATCACAGGGTCCGATTCCTAGTTCCTGTGTGAGGCTCTTTGAGGAGGTTGAAAAGACCAGAAAAGCTGCATAAACCATCTGTTTAATGTGTCCACTGTTTGTCTTACATGTCTCCATTATATATCTCTATAATGTGGCCCTATGTCTCCAGTATATGTCGACTGTGTTCTCTAATGTTTCTACTGCATCTCCGTTTAATCTCCATCATGTCTGAACTGTCTCCACTACATGTTCAGTACGTCTCCACTGTGACTAAACTTTCTCCATTTTACATTTACTATGTGTCAACTATTTGTCCACTTTATTACCAATATAACTCCAGTATGTCTCTCAACAATTTGTCCACTGTGTCCTAGATGTCTAAACTGTGTCACAGCTCAATATCTGAAATCTCACAATTGCCTTCAGTCTGAGCAACATTAGACGCCATGTGTCTCCAGTCTGTTCACTCTGATGTATCTAGTCTGAGTCCAGTCTGAGTCCAGTCAGTCCTCAGTACTCACCATGATGATGGAGTTGGTGACGGTGGGGTTGTGGACAGACCAGGCGGCCATCAGACAGGCCATGGCCAAGAGACAGCAACACTCCCACACTATGCCTCCCTCACGCACATCTAATCACGTCTCACCCACACACACCAGCCCTGATTGCTGGCCCCGCCCCTGTCACTGACCCCCACCCCCACAGAAACAGACTCCGCTGTCTGTGGAGAAGAAAAAAGCTGTACTTCAACTTGAGTCAGTTTGAAATGAGTCTCTGCTTGCTTGGTTGGTGAATGTGAGAGGGAAAGTTACAGCTGCTGTGTCTCATTCCTGTTTATTAAAGAATAATTAAAGAATGAATGAGGTTAAATTAACTTAATTACAGGAGACTAATCTGCTGTTCTGCCATTAGATCCATGTTTCGGTTCTGATACCAAAACTATCAACATCTTACAGATATAAACCTATTTTACTAAAAAACTATGTTGAGAATGCAGACAGTTATTAATTACTTTAGGTCCACAGTTTTGTTCTGGTCTCCTGCTGATTCAGAAGACTTTAAAACCAGGACTTGAAGACAGGTTGTGGATGTGAATGAACCTGACATTTTTACTGAGCCGTGAAGCAGTTGATCATTTCAGTTTATCTTTGTATCATCTTTTATAACCAGACTGAGCACTAAATATAATTCACCGACACCATCAGGTCTCTGTAGGACAGCAGCTTTAACATGTTTGTGTCTTATGAATACGATGAGTCCTTCCTCTCAGAGCCTCTCCTAACTGTTTCAATGTATGACCTGGTTTACTGTTGGTTTTTGCACTGTGACTGACCATCCATGAGTACAGTCATGCTACCAGTGCTCCCCCTGCTGGCTGACCGGTGGTACTACAGTCATAGTCACAGACAAACGAGTGGTCGTCGTCGTGTTTCAGTAACAATCTCCATCTTTAATGTTTTCACGGACAGTTACAGAGAATAAAGCTCTGACAAAAACAATGATACAAAACATTCAAAATAAAAATTTGGTCGACATTCAGTCCACTTTCTGTTGTAAGGCATCAACATACGAATACTAACCCACTGTCGTCTGAAGCATTAGCATCACCACAGGCCTGTTAGCCTCAGTGATAAATGCTAATGATGCTAATTAGCATCTGTCACTGTCAGTAAAGATGTTCGACACTGAGACAAAAATAAAAACTAAGGAGAAGCTCAGAACTGTGACGCCATGGAACAAAAATGTCTAGTTTTATTTCCGTTTCTTTTTTTTTTATTTGCCTGGATCTGCAGAATCCCAACTGTCATGAGCTGACGTCACAGCTCCTGATCGTTTTTTTTTTAGTGATTCCTTGCGCTGCTGGTTTGTCTTCCACTTTTACAGGTGTTTTTGCTCCCTTAGGTCACCCTCACATGGCCCCGCCCACCAGTGACATGTCGCATTGTGACTGATGACAAACAAGAAGTCTGACTCATATTATATTATACTTGTTATTATTAAAATGAAGCCTAAAGAGCTGTGTGTTAGAATGAGTCACAGTATGAGGCAGGATGGAGCTGAGCCTGAGTCTGTAGATCAAACTGTTGTGGAGCTGAAATGTTATTTTAACTTACACAGAAATACTGACAATAAGCTTAACATCTGCTGACTGATTAAACCGTTCAACTCTGAAGAAAAACAAGTGTTAACACTCATAAATTGTCAAACTGTTAAAAACTGTTCATCCCATCAGATGCTGAATATTCCTAAATGTTTAAACTGCAAAAAGACAAAAGCTCTAATGAGAAAGTGGTGATGATCTGAAGGACAAATGGAATCATTACATGACGAGTTCAGACGCTGTGAAAGGTCACAAGTCTCACTCAGACATGTCCATCAGATCAACAGATGTTAATATTTCTAATTTCCTGCTGTGATCAAACCGTCTTATGATTGTGACTGACAGAAAACTGTTCTGAGAAAGAGGAAAAGCTCTGATGTGACCACAGACATCATGTTGAGCTATTCAATTTCCCTCCTCTCAAGGCTGTTCACTGGTTTCAGGTCTATGAAAATCTGAACCCTGCAGAGACAGAATCCATCACACAGAGATGCTGCAGTGTCAAACAGCACGTTAAAATCCTGCAGACCACATAACTACAGCGTCCTGGTCTGAGTCCTGACAGCTCATTTCATCTCTGCACTGTCAGCATCTTATAAAAAGACAAAGACTGTTTTAATCTCATCAGCTTCATGTCACAGTTGTAAACTGCTGAAAAACTTAAACATTTAATGAACAAAATACTAAAGAGAGCAGCACCTGAATTTCACTGTTTCATACTGACGTGTTGTGTAATACCATATGTCACCAGCAGATGTCTCCATTTGACATTATTTATTTAACTGATTATTTGCTTGATGAACTGATTATCTTTGTCAAAGCAACATTATCATAATGAAGTGATGCATTCACTGACACACTGACATCGGAGAGATACACTGATGTTCTGTTCACAGCTCATCAAATCAGATGCTGTGGAATCAATCAGGATGTTCAGGTGGACGACAGAGAGATGGACACTGACGTGCTACTCTCAAACAGTGTTCACACTTTTAAATCGAATTTATCCAATTAAAAACACGGATGTTGTTCATTCAGAAGAATCACATGTCTGATGATTTGGTGAATTTATTGATTAGCTGATTACTTCCATCAGGACATGAGGCTGCAGCTGTTTCCTGTTTGAACTCATGTATAAACACTTTAAACACATAAGGTTATTTCATAATGTCATAAACCAAACCCAGACAACACGTGGCCTCACATCAACATATTCATAACACTAAATAAAATGAAAATGTGGGAATTTTGAGCAAACTGAAGAAGCTGGTGTGATGGATCGTCTCTGTGCAGGTTGGTCCTCACAGAAATGAATTGAAAGCAGTGAACTGGGTGAGAGGAGGGAAACACTATGATCTTCCATCAGTATCAAACTGTGGTTGTGGTCTGATGGACTGCTTCCTGTCTTATTTGGTCTTCTTGTCTGTTGCCAGTGTGTCGTGGAGTTTGGAAACACACTTTTCAAACTGGTCCATCACCAGCGTCCCGTTCTCGTCGAAGAAAGTCGACACAGACTTGGTGAACTCTGCTTCCCTCCAGTTCTTTGACTTCCCGTCAGTGAAGGAAACTCTAAGCGTGTACTGGTCATCAAACCTGAAAACAGAGACACTGTCAGCACTGAACATCAGCTCCACGAGTCAGCACCCAGAGCTCACTGTTCTCCACAGACTAAAGGAGACTAGACGAATAATTCATTCTCATGTCTGCAACTACACACAAACACATTTCTGACTGAACACAGACGTAAACTAAAAAGACAAAATAAGAAAAGGCTGCTGAGTTCATGTCTTTTGTTTTATGGAGAAGTGGAGCAAAAAGTTTGAAATAAAACCTGTGACAACACATTCAGTGAGTGTGGTGATTGTTTAACCTCAGTGATCAGTCAAAGTAGTCTGATTAATTCATTTGAATAACGTGATAAATGTCTGACATCATCTTATTACAAGCAGCACAAAAGACAACAGCAACTCCGTCTGCTGTACTGTGACATGCACATGAACACATGCTGTAGGTAACAGGATGTCATGACTCCAGGTGGTCAACTGGTTCTCCTGCTGCAGGTAACAGGACTTTTGTATTTACTGATCTGAGATTTGTTTGTGTTTGACTGATCGATGATCTGTGTCTCTACCTCTGATATCAGGCTGATGTCAAACTATCAGATGCATCAGTGTCTGTTCTGTACTGATACTACTATTAAGGGATCAATTCAGAAATTCTTTGATGCTTGGCAGCCATTCTCAACTCACTTTGAAACTGTAAATGCAGATAAAATTAGTTTTTAGTCTGTAATATGTGAATGTATGGATAGGAAGGGGGAAGGGAGGGGAAAAAAGAAAGAAATGACTGTATAGTCAATGTATATATGTTCTTTTTCTTCCAACACATTAATAAAAAGACCTGATCAAAAAGTCTGTAGATTGGTCACCAGGTGTTTTCTGAAAAAGTCTCTAAAGCTTCTGAAAAGTCAGTAAATCTAGAGACAAAGGAGCTGAGTTTTCAACATTGCTTGTTCGTGGCAAATCATTTTAAAAAAAGCAACGAGCAATGAGGGATCTCCAACACTAGCCGACCAATAGCGTAACTTCATCACTCATCAGTCAGCGACATTCATGCTTATAGAACTGGTCTCAGTGTTGTGGTCCAGACAAGAAATCATAAAAATGTTTCTTTCTTTCCAACCAATAAACTGAACTTACTGCAGTCAAATAGAAGTTGACACATACAGTAAATATTGTTTTATGACTGAACTCTACTGCTGGAGAGCCACACACATAGAGGAAGACAACAGATGATGTAAATATAAACTGAAGGTGTAACGACCATCAGACTGGACAAGGTGATTTTTCACTGATAAACTACTACAAAGTCTAACATCCTGTAACAGTGAAATAAAAGGCAGATTACGTATGAGTGTGAAATAAACAATGAGAGTTACAATAAAGAGTAGGATGACTGAAGGGAGAGACCGACCGTTTGAGGGAAGAGGAGAGCTGCCAGATGTGGTCTGGATCCATCCCAGCTGGATCTCTCTGCAGGGCCACCAGGAAGATGTTCTTCTCTTTGTATGAGGTGTACAGAGTAAGGATGCCCATCATGATGAAGTATGTGATGGAGGACGAGTTAGGGAACAAACCAGCGCACACGCAAAATACAGTGAACCTCTGACTGACCTGGTTTTCAGATTACTCTGTGACCCTTTAAGCTTCACGCTCATCATCTCCGCTTCATCCTCAGTCTCTGAGATCTTTGTTGTGAGGCCTGGTTCACATCAGCTGATGTTTCTCTAAATGTCTGAGTGTTGTTTATAAGTCAAAGTGCCTCTAACTTACAACCTCCAATCTGGTTTCACTGACTGACTCCAGGTCTGATAACTCCTGACTCCATTTAGCTTCTGTTCTCACACTGTTTCAGATACACTGTTAATACTTGAACAACACAATGATGTGTGTTATTAGTTAAAGCCGATTGTGTTTGTTCATTATTGTAACTTAGATGAAGATCTGATCAGATTTTAGGACTAATTAAAAAGGGTTCACTTGTACAACCATCCTGCCAGTCCTGCAGTCTGATTCTGGGTTTTGGTTTAGTTCTGCTATAACTGACTAACAGCTCTGCTACAACCAGGTGAACTCAGGTGAACTTCCTGCGCAGCTGAAGGATATGAGATGACACAGCAGGCGAGGACCGGTCTGGACTCGGGGAACGGGTGCAGGTAGTCCCAGACCAGAGCCAACATGGCAAACAGACAGGAAACAGTACAGATCAACAGTCGACCGTCCACCAGCTGGAAGTTCTCCACATACCCGTACTTCTCCAACAGCACCTGCAGGGGGCGCAGTAGCAGGACAACAGAGTTAGAAACAGCTGCTGGTTGGTTCAGACTAAAGTCCGGATACATGGAGCACGAGGGTCTGTTCATTTGTCTACAGGTCAAAGCCAAACTGAACAACCAGAAGCCAGATGCACAAAACTCTGTAGATTCATGACTAGAACTATATGAACACACAAAACCAGAAATAGTAATACACATTCTTTTTGTCACAATGATAAAGCCATGCGTTTGCATGGTTCAGCTTTAGAAATCTCACTCATTGAGAAATTGGGTGTACATGAACGAGCCTCATTTCCACTTCCACAATTAGCCATAAATTGATGAAGACACTCCCTTAATTAATCAGTTTGTATAAAAAACAGTCTGTGCCACAAGTGATCAGACACAGAGAAGAAAGATGAGGAAGAAGAACAAAAGGAATCAGACAGAATATTATTCAACACCTGTTTTACTCTGAACTTAATTTATTGTGACTAGAATCATCTTAATGAGGCTGGAGGCTCTAACACTGTGATTAGTTAATATTCAAATAGTATCAAACAGTTACAGAATGACCCACAATAAATAATAAGGACATTAGACGATGCTGAAGGAAACATTGAGCACAAACACAATTACTTCTGTTTATGAATTGTAAATTTGTTATTGGTGTGTAAACAGGAGAACTTATACTGATGATAATGAAAGAAGCTCCATGAAGTTGGCTATTTAATTTTATGTTAAATTACATGTCTCTACTTATTTTGTATTTTCTCATTAACTTGGATCACTTTGGAAAACATGTGTCCACATGGTCAAAGGAATGAGTGAGGTGACACATTCTGTGTTTACAAAGACCAGTTCATGTGCGGGAAACAGTGCACACATGGTTTTTGTGTGTATGCCAGTGTTGTGCCAGTTCACACTTAAAAAGTTCAATTCATACAGATGAAAATGAACTAGTTCACGTTCATTTGTTCAATTTTTTTTTTTTTTTTAAATAGGCAGCTATTTTTTTTCAATAGAATCTCCTTCTACCCATCCATCACCAGCCCCAAAACACTGCCACTCCCAAACTAAATTAATTATTGTACACCACTGAAGAATCAGATATAAGATACATTTAGAATCTGTATATAAATATTATCCAATTTCGAATAAGGATAAAACCTTTTTAGCAGCGTCATCCAGAGAGTTCTTCACAGCTGCTCCGTCCCATTTATCGATCTTCACTGGCTTCTCATCAATCCTCCACTGAAACACACACACAATCAATACCTAATTATTAGCAATTTCAGCTTGTTTTCTAATCAATGTATTAACAGGCTTACTGACGTTTCAGCACTTTTAAAAAAAAATCTGCCCAAAGCTCTTTGTGACTTTGCTTTCAAAGGTGTTAAGAAATTCAGATTAATGTAAATGTTTTCACATACTGGTCTACATCACCAACATGAAAAGGACAACACATTTGGAAATACATACCGTTCTAAAAAACATGATAATTCTTGGTATAGCTTTAGATCATTTCTTAATGGTCCAACATTAAGAGCATACCTCAAGAATCTAAAATATCCTTAACATCAGGTCTGACTTTAATCTGCCAGATGAAGCAAATCCACATCTCTGGGCTCAAGATTACACCAGGATACTGTCACATTACCAGGGTCTTTCCTGGCCGAAAATTAGGCGGGGGTGTTACTAAGTACTCGCGGGGGGGGGGCCGGGCTTGGACCTATCGATGCGGGGCGCGTAGACCACCGGGCTCTCGCGCGAGTAAGACGCGCGGCGGGGGGCCACAGCGCGGCTGGGAACTGGGCCCACCTTCCACTTGTGGTTGAGGACTAGGCCTACTTTCGGTCCTGACAAATTAACCGTATCTCGTCAGTAATATGAATTAACTTTTTTTCCCCACACATTAGAAGAACGAATGATGTCTGCGCTCAAATCAGGTCGCCGCCTCCTTCCGCAGGCAGAAACTCTAGCGCGTTCGTCTTTGGCAATTTCGGATGGCTCTGCCTGATGCACGGATTACGATACAGCGCCACTACATTGCCTTAGTGGCGTACAGCCGCAATTGCATTTGCAAACGTCAAATCCACGAGTACCGAGAAAACAAGTAGGCCTAGTAAAATTTTGTCGGGAGGCGGAGGCGGCACGAAATTTGACGGAGGCGGCCGCCTCGCAATTCTCTATGCAGGAAAAACCCTGATTACACTGTGTGAATGTTTTATCCAAATAGTTCATATAGCTCCTGAGACTTCTTACAGTCCGACGAAGATACTGACCACAGGGGTAATCAGTACTGATCGATTATCAGTGTGCGGCACCACCACTGACCTGACATTTATTACAGTATCCTTGAACCAGGCAGTAACATCAGCTGTGTCACTGGTCATAAAGACTCTCAGTTCAAACTGATGCAGTCTGCTTTAGCTGATAGAAAACTAATTACACCACACAACCTTCGCCACAGTAAATCTCTGATAAACAGTTTCAGTACAAACTGAACATCATCACCGTCACAAAGACAGGTCAGAACTTTACAGTGTTCAGTTACTCCAACAGTTCTGAGGTTCTGAGCTGTTACAGCATCAGAAACAGAAGGAGGGCTCTTTCACCGGATGCGATCAAAGGTCTACAGATTTGTTCTTGGAGATGAGAGATGTGTGGAAAAGTCTCACAATAAAACAGAAGGAATCAGAGCTCTCAGTGAACGACTTCTGCCTCATTTATTTACATAAAGTTCAAACATACGTCGGTTTCCTGCACGAACATGTGTTCACAGACCACGTAGTTATGATCTCAAACTGAGGCCGGTTAGTTGACCCGATGCCTCGTTGATCTGACACATTGTTCTGTAGCCAAACACTGACTCTGTGTGATTTAACAGCTACATAAAATTATATTGCATGTCGAGCAGCAGCCTGTGTGTAACAGCTGGAAACAGGAAACTGAAGGAACCGCTGCAGTTTAAATACGAAGTGACTCATTTATACAGCACAAACAGAACGACATGCTACTTCTTTATCAACTGTTTTCGACTGTTTTATTTCAATCTTTATTCAAAATAATTTTATTTTAGCCTGTTAGCATTAGCTTAGCTCGGTAACAGCAACCCCAATGCAAAGACTGAGAGCACCGTGTCCACAGAGACCTGACCCTCTACTTCTACAGTTTAAACTCTTTTAGAAAATATAAACCTGGGTTTTTATTTTACGCTGACTCCGACAATAAAACTTTAATCCTCACTTTCTCCAGCAGCCCACTCTTTCCGTTCCTCGCAGCAGCCATCTTCTTTTCCGCTACAAACACGGCACCTGTGACCTGGACGCATCTGATTGGCTCTCAGCAAGATTTGAACGACAGGCAACGTCCGACAGCTTTGACAGCGTCCGCGTGCCCGATGCGCGTTCTTCCTGTTTCTCACGTATTACCAATAAATAAATAAATGAAGACGTAGGCATCAGTACATTTTAGAACACAAAGTAAGCAATACATAAGTATATATACTATATGTATATATATATATTATATATATATATATTTAATAATATATATATAATTATAATGTATATGCTTTATATATATTTTTTTGTTTTTTTTTTTTTCAAACAAGGACTAATTGAATCTTCTTGTTGAACTATATTGAATCTAAATGTCTGACTCGTTCGTCGAAATCAAAGATTGCTCAAGTTGATCCCAGACCAGCTTCATGTGGTTCAGGTCTGAAACCTGTGCTGGTCTTTTATTGTTGTGGCTGTAGGATATAGCCCTGACCAACCAGTTCCTGGTCTGTCTCCCCCCACTCTACATTACACTGCATGATTATGGCTGTGCCCTGGGATGGTCACAATAAAAGTCCACTTTAAAATGTGCATTTAAACTAAATAAATAAATAAAATGACATTTTTAAAAGACATTTATCAGGTAATGAACTATGTGACTTCAGCTACAGATGTTCCTTTTTTGGGAGAGGTGGGGTGGAGGAGCATAAGGACTGACAGGAAGTGGATCACGCTGTCGTACACACACATCCAGATTATCTCAGACCTGAGGTTTGTACTACGAAGCAGGATTTGAGGTTATCGAGGTAACTTCAGGTTTAACTGGGTTTTCAGTCCTACGACGGTGGTTCAATTGTTACCGCAGTAAATCACCATGGTAACTTACGCTGAATTCCTATCCTGCTCCAGCGCAGGTTAATTTGGAGGATCAGATCAAAACCTGTCAACAGCCAAACTACTGACCAATCAGATACCTGGAAAAACGGAGTCATCATTCCTACAGTATCCTGACAGGGACAAAAGAGTTTACAATAAAGTTATCAATATAAACGAGCAATAGATATAAAATCTAAAAAATCAGTGGATTAGTTTTCCTGTTTGAGTCTTTCCATGTGTCCTCTCTGGTTTAGAAATTATATTTAGGCATGTAAATAAATTTATTTTATTCTAGTCACGTGATCATGTTTACGTATCACTTTGTTGAATATTACAATTGTTATGTTTCTCCACTCATATATACAGGTTTCTACTTGAATTTGTCTGTGACACTCGCACACACAGAGATGTTACAGAGGACAGGACACAGTTTTCTCAGGTCTTTTACTTTTTCTTGTTTCCCAGCAGTCGCAGCTCTCTTCCTCTTCTCACGTATCACTTTGTTGAATATTACTTTTGGACGTTGCTGTAACCGAACTTACCTGGAAGTATGAGCGTTTCTTCTCATATCATATTAAGAACTTCATTCATGGTTCAGACGATGTTGCTTATAATTAACAACTCCGCCTCTTTCACAGGAACGCGCTCGTAACTGGACAGGTAAACCCAGGGTTAACTGAGCCAGCTGATAACCAGCTTCGTAGTACAGGTTGTCCAGGAGGAACAATGTTAGGTTCAGTCGGGGTCAGCCCTATGTCCCCACATTTCTAAGAATGTTTTGAAAATTAGGCCCTATTTTCCCACAGTCTTATATGTTCCCATAAGCCCATGTCCACACTAACCCGGGTAATATTTATCCGGTTAGCCCTTCCGTCCACATTAGAACGGTGAATTCCGAAACTGAAAACGATGCTTTACAAAAACGATCGCTGAGGTGGATAAATGTAAAGACGCCGTGGAACGTGGATGCAAAGCGTTCTGAAAACGATTAGTGTGGATGGAGATCGTTTTCATTGTGAATGTGCATTTTTATATTTCCCCGGGTTAATGTGGACAAGGCCTAAGATTTTTCTCAAAAGGAAACCCTATGGTCCCATATTTCTTAACATAGGGCTGTGGGAACATAGACACGCTCCCGTTCAGTCAAGCTAGATAACTAAAAGTTATCCTGGGTATATTGAACTTGCTTTGTAGTATAGCCCTCTGCTCAGTGGGTCACATGTCTCGTAACGACACAGGTCATGATACAACTGGGATGCTCGAAGGTTCAACGAAGCTGCAACATGAGGTGATGGAGGCAGATGAATCAATAAGCCTCAGGAGCTTGTCATGGCATATCTTGGTATCTGTGTGATGGTGACTTTCCTGTTTGTGAAAAGTCTTAGATCTTTTATTTCAACTCTGGGAAAATAGGAGTAAAAATAAAAGTGTTATATTTATATTTTTGTACAGTATAAATGCAGATGTCACTTTAGTCTGTTCCTATGGCAACACCAGCCAGCTGATCATCCATTACTGTAGCTCCTGATCTGTGACCTCTTTCAGAGTGACTTAGATCTTTTCCTCGATACAAAATCAGAATCAACTGGATCTGATTAGCATCTTTATACCTGCCCAGTTCACCTGTGTCGAAAGCATGTGCATTTGTTATGTTTCTCCACTCATATATACAGGTTTCTACTTGAATTTGTCTGTGACACTCGCACACACAGAGATGTTACAGAGGACAGGACACAGTTTTCTCAGGTCTTTTACTTTTTCTTGTTTCCCAGCAGTCGCAGCTCTCTTCCTCTTCTCATACAAAACTACTGAATCACTAATATAAACTATTAACATTGTCCATCAGACAGTCTCTGGTCATTTGGCACTCAGCATTAAACCACCCCCACCCCCACCTGAACAATCTGCTGTCAGACTGCATTAAATGAAGGATGAAAGCTTTAGTACAACCTTATAAAATGTGCATATCAGTGTTGTAGAGAGTAAAGCTTGTGTGGCATCAGTAAAAAAAAAAGCCCTTCAGCTCCGTCACAAATACGGCACAGTCTGAACAGAGACTCTCTAACACCTCACACTCTCTAAGTGATTCAAAATAAAACTGTGTTCACTCACTCAGAAACATGTGGCAGCTGAGAGGAAATAAACTGGGACAAATCATTTAAGAAACCCACGACTCAACTGATGATTATATCACTGACAGAAACTATCAGTTCATGGCTGCCTGAAGGAGAGAAATGAATCCAAACCCTGGAAAATCCTCACCAGGAATGTGAAGAAATAATGATCTGCAGGTGACAGGTACAAGCCGTATTCACATTACAGTGTAACAACAGTGAAGGATATTCACTGGTGGAATGCAGCTCATCACATTTAGATACATAGAATTTACAGATACTAATTTTTATATTGTATGCCATTTAATGCATCTACTTCCCTAATAAATCTAAAATCTTGAAGAAGGCTGGCGTCAGAACTCATAATAAAATAATGCTTTCCTATTGTTTCTTTAATGAAGTAAAAATGGACACAACACAGGAGGAGTTCCTGCACTGACATATCTACTGAGTTATACATTATAAATTGACCAATGCTTCTGTTGTCAAACACTAAACAAACAGCTTCACCTCTTTATTAACTCTTTTTTATTCAAAATAAATTAACTTTAGCCTATTAGCATTAGCACATCTCACTAGAATGCAATTTTCGGTGTAGCCGCTTTTATTCTATTTTTACAGCACAAATTTTTGGTTGCTGTTTGGTGACTGTTTGGTGTCTAAATGAGAGTCACAAATCTTTAGTAAATAATCCCCAATATTAGAGCTACAACAATTAGTCACTTAATTGATTGACAATAAAATAACCAGAAACTATTTAGACAATTAATTAAGTCATTTATACAAAAAATCCTGCTGTTTACAGCCTCTCAGATCCATTTGCTGTACATTTAATATTTTGGGGTTTTTGATGCTGGTTGGACAACAAGAGATTTTATGGACAGGATGATTTAATTTCAGCCCTACTCTTTTTTTTTTACTTTATTGATAAACCTAGGTAGCAGTTCAGGTAATAACCACAAACTCTGGTTTAGTTGCATCTGATGGTCTTGGTACCTGATTTGAGCTAATGTTAGCGTCAAGGCTCTTAATCCAGGAGGTACTAATCCAGAACCTTTCAGGTTAAAATCAATGATAAAATGTACTGAGACTCTCCATCAAACAAATAATGTGAATATGGCTTGTGTCTTTACACCCTGACACTGATCCCTCCGTCTCTTGTACTCTTTCAGCTGTGTTCTTTAATCATGACCCTTAAAACCAACAGCACTCATCCAGTCACATGACCATTCTCTCCTGGAGAGTAACGAGGCAAACAACAGTCTCCTGATCCAGAGTGTTCAGGTCTATTGTGGTGTTCGGGTAGTACTCCCTTCAGATAAATTCAGTTTACTTCTCCTACAGTTGGGTCTACACTCAAGTACCCATGAGCCTCAGCGGTCTTGGAGAAACCTCCATCCACAGCTTTAAAATTTTGGGGGTCGATACCCAGAGAACAAAGAAAGGTCTGACAAATGTTCAGACTGGAAGACCGGCAGAGATGGACCAGTAGCCGTACTGGGAGGAGTTTATGTATCTGATGATTTTTATAGCAGAAATGTTCCATCATCCTTGGTTCCTCAGGTGTTGATTTATGCAGAAACATGAATCCCAGGTGAAAAAGGTTCACGTTGGAAGCAGGAAAAGGCCTCGTCAGTTATCAGACAACGTTTAAAATCACCACACTATGGGAACCATACCAGGTCCATGTTTAGAACCTAACTGTCCGGCTGGTTCTGTTTCCTCCTACAGTCCAAACACATGAAGATCAGTTGAACTTTCAACTCCTCACAGGAATCAACACATATGGTATAAATGTATCTGCAGTGTCCAGGAGCTGTGATGAACCTGTCAGTAATAAAAATAAAGCACATGATGACATCAGAATTTCTGGACACATTTTGAGGATAAAACTGATTCTTCATCTAAAATCCTTTAAGATGAGGTCTACGAGGTGAACTATCACCTGAGCGACAGCCTCAGGTTCACTATGCGTCAATTATCTGCAGGTAATCTGAGGAATTTTTATGAGAAACGGCATGACTGAGGTACATGACCAGCGAAAAAACCCATCCCGCTTAATGCTTCACGTAATGTTGTGTCAAAATCTAAATGATGATCAGAAAAATAATCAAAGTATTTTAATAATTTTTAATTTTTAAGAATTTTTTCAGTCATTTAGCTCTTTTCTGCTACAGGAACCTGAATCTTGATATCTGTCATTAAAAAGGCGACAGGGAGACGATCATGTCATGTTGATGTTCTGTTGGGTACGAAGTCAGATGTTCAACTGTTTAATTATCATTTAATGTTGTTGTTATCAGCCATGTGTGTCCTCACAACTCACATCTATACACCAGTTATTGCTGCAACAACTATTTTGTTAAAATGAATATTCAAATAATAAATAAATCAAACGTCCCCCTGTAGCTCAACTGACTGTTTCTTCAGTCTGATCAACAAACAGATTGATGGGTGGATGTAAAACTGATCAGTGTGTGGTTTGGTTGGACTGTTGAGATGTTTCTGAGTTCACTTTGCTCCTTTAGATCCTGTCGCTCTTTAAATAAAAACTGCCTCGCCTTTATCTCAGGAGCTCAGTTTTTGGTGATTTGCTGGTGAGAAGACGACGTCTGGAAGAAATGTACAGGAATGATTGAACCTTATCCTCAGCTGCTCCTGAAATAATGTCTGCTGCTGCTGAGACGGCGGTCTTGTAAAAACATTCATACTGTTCATGTCACCTTCACCTTTTGGCACTTTGCATATATGAACCTCTTCCTCTCCGCCTTTGTGCTGAGTCATTCGATGACTCCTCTCTAGTGCTTCTTGTTGATTCGTCGGGATCTCCTCAGGCCACATCTCCTGCGGTTCTGATTGGACATCCAGGACCGCAGGAAGTACTTATCGGGGCTCCTCCTGCAGTTGACAGTCTGGTTCTCCAGGTCAAACTGTCTCTGCAGCTTCAGGGCGAGCACCCGGTCCTGACGCTCCTGCTGGATCTGATGGATGTACCGCTCGTCGAAGGCCTCCTGGCCTCCTGACCGGCTTCTCTTCAGGTCAGAATCCCGATCTGAGTCCAGGTGTTTGGTCTTCTGCTTCCTCTTCTTGCCCCTCCTTGAGGTAGACTGGTTGGGGATGCTACTGTCAGACTCCTTCCTGGGACTCTGTGAGTCCTTTGGCACCAATTTACACGACTGGAAACCAGAGTTCTTAGTGTACGGGGAGAATGATTGTTTTCGACTAAACAACACTCCTCCGCTGCAGGATTCAGGAGCAGCAACCGGCGACTCAAAGTCTAAACTTGCTCTGAAAGTCGCCTCGCCGCTGTACCGGATCGCAGGGACTCGGATCTTTACCGACTGTTTCTGGAAGGCGTCCGTGTCTCCAGCTGGAGGATCGAACAGCAGCCTCCTCTTGTTGATGGACATCACTCCATCTCCTGCAGCAGACTGATAAGTCTTTGTGGCCTCCTCCCCCACGACAGTCTTGTGATGGAGTTCCATGACTGGGCTCGTCAGCGTGGCCTTGGAGTTCACTTTGAGGCTCTGGCGATCCAGCTCAATCTGCTTCCATTTCTGCAGCACAGCAGGACTGGCCTCGTAGGTGGTAGCCTTCTGCAGGCCACGGGTCAGATTCCGGGGCGTGGACTTGACGATGGTGGGCTCCATCAGACGGCCGTCCGGTAGTCGTTTGGGCGGGGTACACGGCGAGCAGACGATGGGTTTGAAGTGGTTGAGCTCCTCTGAGATACTGTCGTTGCTCTCGGGGCTGATGGAGCGCTCGGGGCGGGGCGGAGGGAGGACCACGGGCATCAGTGACGACGATGATGTGACCACAGCCCGCCAGGTGAGCCTCCGATCAGGAGCGGTGATCGGAGCTGAGACCGAGCGACTGTTCTCAGAGGAGAGGAGGATTCCTGCTGTGTAGCTGTGACTGATACCAACCTGACAGAGAGTGACAGAAACTGTTTAAAACACAAGAACAGAGAGAGAGGAGCTTCTCAGGTGTTCAGACAGAACACAGTACCTGGATCTGAACTTCCCAAGAAGACTAGATATAAATCTTTTCTCTTTCTTTTTTGGGGGGTGAATGTTGTTGATGCAATCACATACAAGGCAATGGAGAGATTAATATAGATGAACTTGGCAGAAACAGGTATCACCTGCATATCAGTCTTCCGGGTGCAACAATCACATATTGAATCATTAGACACGATTATAAAAGGCTTTTAAACCTTTAAAACTTTGACAAAGCAGTGGGCTTTGACTTCTTTAACTTTCTTTTTGTCGATTTTGACATTGTGATTGCCTTCTGATGCATGGACTACGCTGTTTGGGGCGAATAAAGTGTACACTGTGTGAATAAGATCAGGTGAAAGTTTGCCGTCTGTCTGAACACCTTTGGACAGGTGACAGGGGCAGAGACGTGAATACAGAATAAAGAACATTAGGGGTGTGAACTTGGGTCCAAAAATGATTCTGTACATGTAGAACCATGTTGGTTTTGGTGTCATACCCGGTCCATCATGGCCGGCTGAGTGGTGACCTTCCGTTTCCCTCCACTGTCCTCAACTGGGTCAGTGCAGCTTTGACTCCTCTGAGAACCACTGAAGAAGAGGAACACAGGTCACAGCAATGAGACGACTGTTTCTACAGCAGCCTGTTAAAGCCTCAACATCGGAATGGAAAATGTTTGACTTTAGCGGCCCCCAGTGTTCGTATCAAAACAGACAGATGTCCAGCTGCTGATGCACATGCTTGTTGCGGGTGTTTGATTGACTGATAATAGTAAAATATTGATTTAAAACAATGATGATGAAGCAATTTCTCTCACCCAGTGACAGACGATGAGTTTTTGGTTTTCCTGATGAAGGCGGAGATGTTTCTGATTCTTCTGCTGATCGGCTCCTCGTTCTCTGAGTCTGACAGAACTCCCTGAGAAAAACAGTGATTTTAATAAAACACCTGAGTCAATGCAGAAGAGTGACGGACACACTGAGCTGGACGTTAAATATGCAGACTGCACAGTACATGATGGAACTATCAGACTCACAATCTCTTCATCACGTCGCACTGATTCGTCTTTACAGATCAGAGTGTTCCTTCTCCTGAGCTCCTCTCTGTCCTCAGACAACAACAGCTGAAACACAACAGTCAGAAACAAAAGTACAGTTTTATAGACTAAATGGACCAAACATCATCACAAATTCATCCTGTTCCTACATGAACACAACCAGATAAAAACATTGAAGCTGGTTGTTGTTGTCCAGGCTCTTTTTTTAAAAAGAGAAGTCAACCTCTCAGTAGTTGTTATATCGAGTAATGGTCCATTTAGTCCACATTTATTAAAACACGGTAAAACATACAGTTATTTATATAAACAGTGTTTTAATTAACACGGCACCAATTTGTGCAAATACACTTTGAACTTGTTATATGAGCTATAACTTAAGTCAAGGCTGTGGTGATATAAAAAATATACTTTTTCAAGATGAAATTTTGACTTAAGAAAAATGAATTGTTAAGCTTTACAACTAAATAAAAGCTAAAGCCAGCCCAGATGTTTCATAATACAACACAGAATGAAGGTTAACAGCTGTTTCACTATCACACCTGTGGCTAAGTACTGAAGTATAACAGTAGGGACAAAGTAATTTACCAAGTGCATTATTATTATTATTATTGTTCTATACTGACAGAAATTAGATTATCAATTTATAATCATGAATAATCACATTCTGTCAGTATAGAACAATAATGCTTTATAAACAGAATTGATGGATGGATGGATGGATGGATGGATGATTAATTTGATGTTTACATAAATTATGTCAGAGTTGTGGAAACTGGTGCAGAGATTTTAGTTTTTAAGAAAACCACAAGCATAAACATGATATTACAACATTAGTTTACAGCAGGCTCCAGGAATATTGAAGACCTTTGTAAAAGACATTTATTATCTTCTAAGACTTTTATTGAGGAAACTGAGACCTAGATTTTTTCAGAGTAATCTGTCAATCCAATGCTTCCTCTGCTATGAAGCTAATAACCTGTGGTTTGTAGTTCAGTGTTGTTCAGGGATTATCTGCTCCTTTAACTATCTCTCTGACTCACCTTGTGTTTTCCACTCTGCCCTGATGAAATCTCTGCAGACTTTGGGATGAGAGCAGGAGAGATGAAGAACTCTGAAGAGACAGAACAGAGGAACCACATCATGACACAATATGAGATAAGAACATGACAACATCAGACTGACACTGACCAGAGATGATCACAAACACACACCACAAGCTTCATTTTGAAAGCTACACAATAAAAAATCACTTTAAATTAAAATGCTTCTAAAATAGAAAATACATGCTAAAAATTCATTTTAAACAATCTATCTTAAAATGTGATTATTTAAATGATCACCGGAACAAATTAATTTAAATGAACCCTGAAGAATATAAATCTTTTTATTGCATTGCACTAAAGAAGTTAAACTATCTGATCAGAGAATAATCCACCAAAATTACTGATCACATTTAAAAAAAAACCAAATAGCTGAGAAATAACACTGGCGAAGAAATAATAAAGACAAAACTGTCAAAATAAGGTTGAAACTTTGATAATTTAAGTAGATATTTTCATTTTTAATTAATCTGCCTGTAATTCTCTTGAGTAAATGATTGATTTTTTAGCTATAAAATGTCAGAAAATAGCTTGAAATGCACATTATATTTTATCAGAGCCAAACATTACTCATTCAACTGTTTTATCCAACCAACAGTACAACACCTGAAATATTCAGCTCTGTCAGATGAGACACAGAGAGGCATCAAATCCTCACAAGGAAGGAAGTGGAACCAGCTGATATCCGAGACAATTTTACTAAAAAAACAAATTAACTGATTATTCAATTGACAGAGTGGTTTCAGATAAATTTTCTGTTGATGTTGTTTTGGTTTTCAGCTGATTGATTCATTGATTTAATCGCTGCAGTTCAATAGAAGACGATATTTCATGTTTCATGTCCTGAGCCCACACTTATGTTGACTCTGTATAGTTCTCACAGTACAGGGGAAACAACAGGGTGTTTCTAATATTTTGTCCACCACCTTCACAAACACTGAGGTGTCAGAATATTAGAGGCACTTCTCAGTATAATACTGTCCAACACAATACCACCAATGAATATGAGTTCAGTAGTAAACATTAGTTAACATGTCTGACAGTGCCAACAAAGCACTGAAATGAGCAATATAAACTTAAAGGTAGAACTAATGAAGGAACTGTTGTATTAGACTGAATCAAACCTCACTGACTATGAGAGCAAGCATAAACTGTGCTATTATAAACAGGAAACCTAACAGTGCTTCATTCATGGATTTCAGGGAAAATAATCTTGAGTATTTTTTCTTTGCTGATTGAGTTTCAAAAACAGAATAAAAACACTGGATTAAACAATGACAAAGAAGATTTTATCAGACCTGAACACAGTGTTCATTTTAATATAAATATCTGAAGTGACAGAAAGTAATGGTAATAATAATAGTGATGAAGGAGACAGAGATAACCAGATACTGACACTGTAGTAAACCAGCTCCTCCTACAGCTGTACAAGTCTGGACAAGTCCACCAACACCAGACCTAATTACAAATCTAATCAAACACTATAAAACAAGTCTTTTTCTAATTGCTGTCTGCAGATTTAAAATATTTCTATGAATGAAACAGATTAAAATCATTCTTGTCATTGTTTACGGGAGCCTCAGGTCTAGTTACCTGATCATCTCATTGATCTCTGACTGAGTTCACCGGAGGTCAGTGTCTGCTTCGGGCAGATTCATACAAAACTCCTTAAGAATAAATAATATTTCACTTCTGCCTTTAAAGTGTTTAAGAATAAAACTCGTATTAACAGCAGTACACAAACTCAGTCATGTTATTCTGTGAGACCTGAATCAGGGTCACTTTTACAGTCAGACATTAATGAACTCTTCAGGCCTCCTGCAGATTAAACTAAACTTGTGATGAAGTTACATCGAAAGCTGTTAAACTTAGGTTGTTTCGATGTTTTTCTAGCGTTTGATTTGTAAAACAAACACCAAGCGGCGGGGCTGATACAGCGGAACGTGAGTTGTAGTTTGCACGGTAAACACACCAACCTCTCCGGCTGTCGCAGTCCCTCCTTCCCGCCCTACTGCTACTGCTCTCGGGGTCACTCCTCCTACGGACCCGCTCCTCGCTGCCGGAGTGTTTCCAAGCCAGGCAGAGCGGACAGGCCGGGTGTCCGCAGGGCGGACTGCCACCGGTCTGAGCCTCCACGCATGCCGCGCACTTGGTCACTTCATCCTCTGGCGGGCTGGACCCAGACCCTGACCCGGACCCGCACCGTGCTCCGAGGCCGGAACCGGATCGGGACCTGCCGGCAACGGCGCTGGCCAGTCTGCCAAGCCGTTCGGCGGACCCTGCGGTCGCCATCTTCCCTGTTGAGTCTTCTCTCTCCGGTCCGCTCTCAAAGCAAACCCCGCCCTGCCGCCGCCGGAACAGCACGAGCACAGAGTGGACGCGCGTGCAGCCCGCCAACCTAGGAGCTGGAACACGGCGCGAGCCTGCTCTGGGTTAAACTTCAAAATAAAATTACAGATATATTGGTTTATCTTATTATCATATCTTATGACAAATACAATGCAATTTAAAATTCTTGAATACATAGACTGAACATAAAGATCAAGTATTATCTCAGGAAAAAATACGTTCGTTATTATAGGCTCCCTAAATGAGGTAAGATTTTCACAACAAACTATTGAAGAAGCAGTAGTAGATTTTAAACGGTTTCATACTTGTTAAAACATAGGTTTAAATGCCCTGATGTTATTTACTCATTTATTGGCTAATAATTCCCCGACCAAGAACCTAACAAATTCATCAATTTCGTCACAACTCGTCTTTTTTAACATGCATCCATAACATGCATAATTTTCAGTTTTCACTTCCTCTCAGGAAGATAAACACTTAAAAAAAAAAAACCTACACAACCATTATTTTGTACCTATAATGGTTTTACATTTTTATGTATGAGATTATAAATATAAACTCATGTTTTTAGGAACTGTTTTTTTCTGCATGTAAGCTACAGTATAACCAAATGAAAGAAAAAGAAAAACTCCATTGAATACATAGTCATGAAATTTAATTTAAATAAATAACCCTTAAAAATCACATCAGTTAAAATATAATACGAAACAAAGTGTCAGGTAACAATGTGGTTAAGGGGACTACTTAAAATAAATTATCATTCAGGAATAAAATAAACAATTGAAGTTTTATTGTGAAAGGTTTTATTTTTTGACCGGCGCAACCCGGAAATAGACACCGATTTGACCGTGGAAGGAGAAGGTAATAACAATAATGGTAGCGCACTGTTTCTGAGAGGCGAACTGTGAAGTAAAAGAGGTAAATAAAGTCGGAAATGAAACTGATTTAAACTGGTTTTAAACGAATTTGACGGATTTATGTTGAAACTTTGGTGCCACTAAAGCAGTTGTGTTAAATCTGTGTCATTGAGGTTAAACTGCTGCAGTTCAATGTCAGTTTTTTTCTTTTCCATAGAAGGTACACTGTATACTAATTTATATCAATTTACATTTACATTTACTCTGTGGTGAAAACCAAACAGGACATATATATGAAACTGATTTATCCTTAGCATCCTCTACAACTTTGTCAATTTACCCTAATGATTTAATGAAGGCATTTTTAAGGGATTTGAAGGGAATAATTCATGAATAGATTTGGAATATACTAATTTACTACCAGTATTTAGGTGTTTTTAATGAAGTATCTGCAAGACATACAGCAGTTGTTAAGGAGTAAAACTCTATTAAAGTTGACCAAATAACATGAAAACCCTCACTTCTTTGATCAGTTTTTCAGTTAGTCAAGTTGTGTTTTCTTTTAACCCCTTAATATAATTTTATACACATCACAATCCATTGATTTAACCCCAAATCTTTGGTGAATCCAGCTGAAGAAATTAAATCCATTTTCAGTTACAAATAAAGGGATATCTGTGATGCTGCTTTGTAAATTATAAGGTTTTTAAACAACCTTGGAGAGAAACCCTTAATGTATAATAAACCATTAATTACCTCAATTTTTTTTTTTTGAAGCTCTGATTATGCAACATACTTAAAAATCTAAAGGTCTTTTTATGGCACAAATTAAGGGGTATCTGTAATTTTATATTGTAAAGTTTATAGGATTTTACCCCTTAAAAAAAACTTTTAGCAATCTCTTCAAATATTCCAGTCCATGAATGTGTCGATTAATTTGTCCTATATCTCATAAACCTGTTAAATATCTAAGGATCCCTTAAAATAATTCAGAACCCTAATGAAACGTAAACTAAACTAGAAACACCAAAGAAAAGCAGTAAGATTAAGGTAGTTGTTGAGACTTGTTGTGGACAGGGACCAGCTGCCCAAACTTTAGACTTCTAACATTACGTTAACTCCTGATAAGTCAACACAAAACTTCCTGAGGACAATAAAAACATGTTAACACACCTGATTTAACTGTGTGTTATTGTCAGGGCATTGTTCAATGGTTCCTGATCTGGTTCCAGTCCTAGATGCAGGGTGTCAGGCCAGTGGTGGAGGTGGTCCGTCTTGGCCTGGTCACCTATCAGGAGGCTCTGCGGCTGCAACAGGTCTACGTGAACAGGCACCAGTCTGGTCCAGCTCATGCTCTGCTGCTGTGTCAGCACCCACCAGTCTACACAACCGGGATCCGGCACAAACCCTACCCCACCCCCATGCTAGACCGACTCTGCCTGCTTGGGGCCGACATCCATCGAACCAACCGAGGAGGACTCATCACATTCCATGGGCCAGGACAGCTGGTCTGCTACCCGGTCCTGAACCTGGGCAGCTTCAAGAAGGTCTGAGCTGATTTCTTTTTGAAGTTTTAGATAGTTTAATGTAACTAGACGTATTTTTAATCTTTGTTCTGTTCTCTCAGAGTGTTCGTTGGTACGTCTGCAAGCTGGAGAAAACCATCATCTCGGTCTGCAGCAGGTTTGGTATAGAAGCGTCCACATCACCTCACACTGGAGTTTGGGTCGGAGACAACAAAATCTGTGCCATTGGTATGACAACACAACTGTATTCCTCTCTAGCTCCTCTCAGACCTGCACGATTGTCAGTTGACCTCAAACATTTCTGCTTCATCACAAGTCTCAACTGAAATTAACTGAAAACAATTCCCTGTGGGGATCATTAAAGATATTCTGACTCTGAATGAATAATCTGAAGTCAGATTAACAGAGAGACACCAACAGCACAAACTGCAGAGTGAGTCTGACCTGTAAAATCACTATAATTCATGTAATATTTCAACCTTAATCTCATATGTACAAAGAAAAGAAACTCAGTTTATTAACCTGCGAAACACTGAAGAGACCATTTGAAGTTGTTGAACCTCGGATCGAGACAAGTACAGGATTCTTTGTCATCAGTCACGTGACTCTCAGAAAACTGATTCAAGCAATGATACGAAGCTGAAACTGTGGAAACTGTCGTATGTACTCAACACAAGCTTTGGAGCCTCTGCATCATATGTAACTTCACTAGTATGAACGTTGTTTCCTTGTGATTTTCAGGGATCCACTGTGGACGATACATCACGTCTCATGGTCTGGCTCTGAACTGTAACACTGACATGTCGTGGTTCAGCCACATCGTACCGTGTGGCATTGAAGGTAAAGGAGTGACGTCGCTGAGTGCTGAGCTGCAGAGAGACATAAGCGTGGAGGAAACCATCCCTCACCTCCTGGACGCCTTCAGAGAGCATTTCAGCTGTCAGCTGACTGATGGACAAACACCTGAAACTGAGAAGGACAACAGAGGATCATCAGCGTAGAAACTGACCTGAAGGACTTCCTATAATTGATATGATAAACTGGTTGTTGTAATATTTTCATCAGTTTAATATCTGTGTCTTCAGCACAGAAAGATGTCAAGAGTGTGTATTACAAAGAATTTGCACCTTGACATGTCCTTAATTTTCCATTTAATGTTCTGATTCAGGGTTGGCTTTGTAACTTGGCAAATATTGCAGTGCTGAGTCCATATTTAGAGTTGATTGATTATTGAATAATTATTGGGTGCTAATAAATGGCTTTTGATGAGTTCTTTGCATTCATTTAATTGGTTTTTAAGGAGTAAATAGTTGTTGAATTTTCACCTTAATAAAAAAGACTAAGGCTGTTTAATATAAAATGGATGAAAATGAAGGGGCTTTTGTGTCATTTAAAAGTTAATATTTTTTACCCCTTAAAACACCCCTCAGTTGTACTGTTAAACTCAAAATAAAAATACTTTACAGTCCATTTATAATATCATAACCACCCCCTTAAATTTCCTCTAAATTGTCTTAATTTAAAGTTAAGGGAGTTTAACAGTAAAGAGAACAAATAACTGGAAGTGATACCTCTCCTTACATGTGATATCAGAACAGCTGTGTGTCTCAAAGGATCTGATGCCTGTGTCATTAACATGTAATTTACTGCCCACCTGTGGCAGGCCATTGACTCTGGAAGCTAGCTAGTTTGACCCAAAGTATGTTCCTGAACAGCTGTTGCTTCATTTTCTGACATCTTCATGGGCGTGACTGTGTCCTGTTGATAAAGGTTGGGCTTGTCAGAAAGGGGAGCAACTTTTCTTGAATGTTTGCACATTGTGGATAATCCTGGGACCTTTGACAGGTGACTAGCTAAAGCTAGCTACAGACAAGAGGGGGTGGCTGGTTCTTCAGCTTGGCTCACCTATCTGTTAAAGTCACAAATCACTATTACACATGACACAGTTTTTATATTCCACTGTATTAATGACATTATGAATCAACATAGCTGCTTTCATGCTCTCATTCTTCTTTATGCATCAGAACAAGCTGTAAAGAAAACATCTGATATTATCATTTTATAAAGTAGTTGTGTTTAGAGAGTGACGTGGTCATCCCATTCACAGTGTTGGTAATAACTTTTGGGGTTCCTCAGTGTTCTATTCTTGCTCCTTTATATTTTCAGTTTACATGATGATCCATGAACCATCAGAGCTGTTGGATGAACCTGTCTGGGAGTCCCAAGAGGAAAAAGTTGCTGTTGTACACTGTTACTTACAAGTCCCCATGCATTCCAGATGGCATCTTCATTATACACAACCAGGTTTTTTAAGTCAGTTTGTCTGTGCCTTCTATCAAACTCAGCTGTAACTAAGAAGAGGCACCATGTGAGCACAATGTAGACTAAGATAAGAAAACATTCAAAACTACTCCAGATCAGACTTTACGATCAAAAAGGTCATATAAATGATATGATTGTCACATAAGAATTACTTTGTATTTTCAGTAGTTGGCGCTGTGAATATAGTGTAATATTAGTATGCAGATGTCTTCAGTGTCAGACTGTCATCAAACGTGTAAAATTTGGGGAAGATTGGGCAAAGTATCACAGACTTATAACCACTTCCTATATTTCCATTATGTGGCACTATGAGTATTACTAAATATGAGCATGTAGATGTGTTCAAGGTGGGAGTCTCATCAAACCTATAAAGTTTTGGTTTGTTTGGACAATGGATGCTGGAGTTATAGCAACTTCCTGTTTCATGCCGAAGGATCGAAATTCGCTGTGCTGCCACAGGCAGGCCCCATGAAAAGTCAAAAGCTCTGCACTGTAGAATTGCACTGGTATGAAGATGACAATAAAGCAACCATGATCTTGGAATTAGACAATACCTCATGGACATAAAGCCACTTCCTGTTTCATATTTGACATGCCGCCAGAGCGACGCCTTTAAGTGAAAACTCAAAACTGACATCCATGAAGCATCAGCATATTCAACAAATTATTTTCTGACCGTTTTTTTGAGGGCCAGGTCAATTGTCTAGGAATAATAAATGAAAAAGTAAATCATAATACCACATATTGCCTAGAGGTGGTGCTATAAATACTACTAAATATGGACATATAGGTGTGTTCAGGGCAGGACTCTTATCACATATTAATATTATGGGGCCATTTGGACAATGCGTGCTGGAGTTATAGCGAGTTGAATTTTCATGGCGAAGGACCGAAATTCGCCATGCCACCACGGGCAGGCTGTTCCATGAAAAGTCACAGTTTTAACTACAGTGCAATCAAATCGTTGATCATGATTGGATCAACCTACTATGAGCAGTATATCAAAATGTAGAATATGACACTTCCTGTTTCCACAAGGGGGCACTATGGGTATCACTGAATATGAGCATATGAGTGTGTTCAGGGCGGGACTCTTATGACACAGAAAGTTTGAGGCAGCTTGGACAACTTATGCTGGAATGAGAGGGAGTTAATTTTTCATGGCGAAGGATCGAAATTCTTTACGCCATCAGGGGCGGGTCCTACAGCGAAAACTCAAAAGCTTCGCTATATAACATCACAAAGGTCTTATGATGAGGCTGACCACAGATTATGTTGATCTGATGAATTCCCTAGGAGGAGTTCGTTAAAGTACGTGACCCCAAATCGCAAAAACGGCGGAAAAATTGCAAATTGAATTCAAATGGCTGACTTCCTGTTTGGTTGAGGGTATGGGCGCAAGAGGCTTTTTTGTAAGTCTTGGCATGATACATGTGCCAACCGACTTTCGTGCATGTAGGTTAAACCAAGGGTATAGGAAAGGCCTTCTTGAAATTTTCTAGGTGGCGCTGTTGAGCCATTTTGCCACGCCTATGTGTAAGACCCATACCAGATGTAAATTTTCACCAGGCCTGACGCGTGTGTAAAGTTTCATGACTTCATTACTTTTGAATATGGGAAAGGCTGCAAAAAGGCGATTTACTTCATGGAAGGAAAATAATCAGAAGAATAAAATGCGCAATTTCAATAGAGTCCTTGCACCCTTTGGTGCTCGGGCCCTAATAATAAAACTGTCTTATTCTTGTTTTAAGGATTCTTTCAAAATAAACGATAGAGGCTTTTGTTGTAATAACAGACCGGAAGTTGAGTGTTGCCTCTTGAGAACTTGGCTGCAGTGTTCATGACGTTTACTGGTGAATATTCCTGTCGTGTCTACGAACTTTACAGAGGAATATTTACAGGAATATTCTGGGCAGTTAGCGGGCTGATATCGATATTGTCAGCAGTGTAACAGAACGTGTAGCTTCGGTGAGTGAAGTAAAAGGCTGACACGCAGAGTTACGGAGTTCACCCCCGGCAACCATAACAAAGAGGAGGCGTGTGTCTATCCACTCCAGGAGCCGGGACCCGCTATCAGCGGGGAGCTAACACTGTGTAACGGTCAGCTGGCTGTTTGCTACTTCTTGCGACAGTCAAATGGCCCTGCTACCGTTCATCGAGTGTTAGCTGGCCTGGCACAGTCTGTGAGCATGGGAGACGATAACGGAATTAACGGGGACCTGAACGCCAACCTGAGGTGCCAGAGTACCGGCGACCCACAGCTGGACAACGCGGTGCACCAGTGGCTAACATGGGATAAAGTGAGTGTCTATCCGCCTGTCAGCTAGGAAGTACTGGGGAAGCCAGCGTAAACCCGGTCTGTCCTGCTGTGCGTGCATGGCTGTGCGGAGGGAACGTCACACCAGACTTCCCTGAGAAATCTGGCATTTTATGTTGACATCGCATTTTGGCGAACACGTGTGGTAAAATTGATGTAAGATACTGTATTTAATATATAATCACGATCGTCTCGTAAAATCGGTATATAAATAGCCTAATGTAAGTAATAATTATTTAGTAAAGCAGCGTCATTTTGCATAGAAGTGAAACTTTGTGAGCAGTTTAACGATGCTCCAGCTGCGTTGAAGGCGCGTGGGAATAGCTGGCGCAGCAACTACAAAACATAACATTTAATGTAAATAACGGCATATATATTGGTGCCGTATGCCGTATTTACCACCAGAAACAGCCATTTCAGGACATATATCAAGTCATGCTTCTTATTGCCGTTAATTGTGTCGACATGCAAGGAAATCTAAAATTACGAGGTATTACATGGGAGATCTGAAAACGACACACCCGCATCTGTGGGTTGTTTTCAGATGAGAGTCTCACCGGGGTTAGAGAGTGTATGTTGCCCGCAGTGCGGCTCTGCAGGCCAGCTGGCAGTCAGGAACACCGGCGGCTCTGGGTCGTTATGGAGATTAGCTTTATGGGTTATCAAGCAGCATGACACAGCTCATTCACTCTGTTTGGCACAAGTGATCAGAAAAGGCCTGTACAGGTGGTGAAACCTCTGTTAAAATGATGAGCCAGCCGTTAATCATCTGGATACCACAGACTGAACCAGCTGGTTCAGATCCACTACCATCCACCTGCTGCATCTGACTCCACCTCCCACATGTCCATGTTCACTCTGCTGTGGATGCGTTTCAAATATGAGCCTTTTAATAGCTCTTTAAAGCAACACAAGGTAAATTTAATTATAGACTGATATTCATACATGAAGCAGCTTCATGGAAGGGAAGAGAAACTTTAAAAGAAAATATTGACATAATTAAAACATTTTATTTTTTTAATTTAACATAATCAGACAGTCCTGATACATAAATGAATGTAATGACATGAAAATAGCAGGATTTTAATTCTGCTGTGACACACTGAAGCCAATGTCAGGTAAACCAGTAAGCAGGTCATTACAGCAGTCTAACGGACTGAAGGTAATGAAGGTATTTGTTAGTTGTTCCAGGTCAGCTGAGGCTTTCTTTAATTTTCCTGGGTGGGACAAAGAGAACGTATCTGTGTGAACATTCAGATGTTTGGTTTCTAGTCTTCCTCAGTTATGCAGATGACACACACATTTATACCAGGTGACCAGGTGCACTGAACAAACCAGTGACTGCAGAAATCAAAGCTTCCTCCACTTAAACAAAAATGAAACTGAAATAACTGTTTTAAGATTAAGATTGAAAGTCAGTGTTCAGCTTCAGACATTAACTACCACAAACCAGGTCAGAGATCTGCCTGTAGTCCTGGACTCACACTAACATTCAGTTGCCTGAAGAATATATGAAGAACTAAAGGAATTAGCTCATAGTGGTATTTAGAAAAACCTGTTCATGTATTTATCTGAAGTAGGCTTGACTACTGTTGCGCTGTCTTTACTTGTCTCAGGTCAGACACCTGCA